ATACAAAGCTCATGTGCTAGCACACTGGGGATCATGTCACACTTGTGTCACCATGCCCAGTAAATCTTTGGTCTTGGGGTGACTGAGAGTATTCAGTCAGTAACTCCTTTGGCAAGTTGATTTTTTAATAAAAGGGAAAAGCATTTTGTGTACTTAGTTGTTTGAGGATATACCTGATGAGATCGTATGATTAAAGGGAGCTCTGGTGGCGTAGTGCCTAAGGCACTTGACTGATAACCAGAAGGCTGGCGGTTCAAACCCACCGGCCACTCCTCGGAAGGAAGGTTAGGCAATCGGCTTCCGTAGTGATACCGCCTCAGAAACCCAAGGGGAGGGGTCGCTATGAGTCGGGTCCAACTCAATGGCACATAACAACAACAACAATGTATGATTAAAACATTTTCTTTCTATAAAGGAAAATCTATGTTCTGCATGTTTGTTTGCTTTTTAAATATTAAATGCAGCCATGTGTATTGTATTTCAGCTATAAATAAACTCAATGATTTGAACAAATCGCTAGCAGAATATTGCCAGCAGAAGTTGCCTAATGGTTTTAAGGCAGAACTAGGGCAACCTTGTTGTGCTTTTTTTGCAGGTAAGTTGCAGTTGGTATAATCGTCACTTTATTAGAACTTATTTTATGAGAACCTTACCTAAAATTCAAGCAGTTATTTTTCACAACCAAGATTAAGTGAATGCTTAAGATGGCAGGTGGTTTTCCTTCTCTTTTTCTAAGAAGGAGCCTCCAGATGATACCTTTGCACCTAAATTAGGTTAAACATTATTTTAATGCATTTCTCTCCAGAATTTCTGATGATAAAGTAAGTTAGATAATTGGAAGGACTGTTCTCCACAAGTTCAGTGTCTGTTCTGGTCACTCTGTGTATGTTTGTTTTGCAAATATACTTAATAAAATAGTTTCATTTCATTGCAAGAATGTCTGTTTATATTATTTCACCAAATAACAAGTAAGACACTTGTAAGCCATTAGGGATAAGAGTTTTGCAAATCTTCCCAGGTTGATGACATACTGAGGCTTATTCAATCTTAACTTGCCTGTTCTGTTGATTTGCTGTTATGAATGAAACCTCTAATTTATATCAGATGTAAACGTCTGATGCTATGACACTTTTTGGAGATATTCTTAAAAAAATAAACTTTGAGAATTCTTAGAGGAATTTTCAGATGGAAACTAAAGGCATCAGCTGAGGAAGAGAGTGAGTTGATTAGCCACTGTAGACAAAGGATGTCTTTTTCAGGATGAGAATTGCAAATGTTGATAGAAAGGCAACAGCTCATGTTTAAACCTTTGTGTTAAATCTAGGTGATGGCAGTTGGTATCGTGCTCTGGTCAAGGAAATCTTGCCAAACAAGAACATCAGGGTGCATTTTGTGGATTATGGAAACATCGAAGAAGTTACTGCAGATGAACTTCAGACGATCTCGTCGAAATTTTTAAAACTTCCTTTTCAGGGGATCCAGTGTTGGCTAGCAGGTGTGGTGCAGAATAAGAGATTTTCTAAACTGTCTTGTTACACTCTCAGGGTATGGTAACTTCTAAACATCACTATCTGTAACTTTAAGATTTTGTGTTAATTAGAAGATCTTGCTTCAAATGATAAAGTGTAGAAATGCATTTTTTAAGATAATTGGCCAAAATGCCCATTGTCAGTGACAGAGTCGGGGAGCTGCTGCTTTTCTGTGCGGCTGACGGGGGTGGAACAGGCGTGACCTTCCTAAAGGTCACGGGCAGGCCTCCTGAAGGGCCTCAGCTAGTCCTGCCTTTACATTTAGCAACTTTACCTACAGTAATTGATCCCAAAGAAGTCATCGTGACATTGCACAGAGTTCAGCTACGGGGATGTTCATTACAGTGTTGTCGATAGGAGCCAAACAGCCCCCACAGTCAGCAGTAGAAGAACGGTTAAGGGATGAGCCGTGTAATGAATAATAATAATACCTTTTTCATAGAGCAGTTGGGAGGATTCAGCGAGTGTTTAGAACAGGGCCTGGGACTCAGAAAGTTCTGTTTAAGTGTTTGCTGTTACTAAATCATCATTAAAATGCTGTTAAGAATATGTTACCAAGAAGAAGAATTGTTCATGATTTCAGTGAAGAGAGCAAGTTGGAAAGAGGCAGGCTAGCATTGTGTTGACAGCACAAACTCTGGAGCCAGCTCTGGGAGCTGCTGGCTTTGAGACCTGAGGCAAATTATGTCAACTAGAAAATGATAGCACCTTCCTCAAAGAGCCATTAAGAATAAAAGAGATTTTTAAAAAAGTGTAAAGCACTTAAACAGTGCCTGGCATTAGACTTGTCATAGCTGTGATGATTATTGTGAGATTATAATATAATTTGTATATTTATGTGTAATATAAATTGTCTTGATAAAAGAAATAAGGGTATGTGCACGTGGGTATCTCCATCTGCACATAAAAATTGTGGAAGGTTGGATATCAGAGTATTAACAGTGGTCATGTCTGAGAGCATGTTGTTGTTTTCATTTTGTATTTTACTTCTATTTATTCCACAAATAGATTTATTTAATATTTCCTGATCTGGGAATTCAGGAATCCCTGCTATTCCACCAAATAGGTTTCAGGTGTTTGGTTGTTTTTCATTTTAAGTACTGTGTTTTATGTCAGTATTTCTCAAATTGTGGTCCCCAAACCAGCAGGATCAACATGGCAACTTACTAAAATAATGCAAATTCTCAGTCTGGAAGCCAGACCCATTAAACTAGAAACTCTGGGATAGGACCCCACAGTCTGTGTTTTAAAAAACCATCTGGGTGATTCAGATTCAAATCAAAGTTTGAGAATCACAGTGCTATGGAAATAAGGGTGTAAGTCATACTTAGCTAAGAAAAATAATTTTTGGTTAAATCATTCGAAATGGCAGTTTGTAATTTTCATTAGAAAACTGTCCACAAAAGTTAAAAGAGTTGACAGTTGCCATCTGTTAGCAGCATAATTAGTCATTCATCCTTTCATATCAAAGCACAATGGTGAATTTAAAAAGAACGGATAATCCTGTTTTTGCCTGTTGGAGGAGTTCCAGGTGAAAGTATGTTCATGGGGAGAGTCAAGGAAGATCCTGAGCCTTCTGAACCCCTAGTGGTATGTTTGCAAATGCACCATCTGTAGCTCTGGGACAGAGGAATAAGTGAACATTGGAAAAAGGGCCTCAGAGTTTCTGACCTGAGTGTAAACCTAGTCCTGGGTACTGTGGGAGCAGAAGTGCAGCCTGTGTACGGTCTTTGTCATGTTGTTGTTACTCTCCAGATACACAGCCGAGAAACAAACACTGGACTAAAGAAGCCACGGCCAGATTCCAGATGTGTGTCACAGGAACAAAACTCCAGGCCAGAGTGGTTGAAATCACTGAAGAGGGGGTGGGGATTGAACTCACCGATCTCTCCACTTCTTACCCCAGAATAATTAGTGATGTTCTGATTGGTGAAGCTCTCGTCTCAGCAGGTGCTTCACCCGCTAAAGACGTGCCAAGCAGCAGGCCTGTTAATAAATGTGGTCCTCACATCGATGTCCAGGGGCCTCAGGGTAACATCTTGTAATCTTTCATTTGTTTAAATTTGTATTACCCTTTGTTTTCGTAGGCTGTGAAACATTTTCTATCATAAATGACACAATTTCCCTATAGGAATAGGCTTTGTAGAAGTAAATTCATAGTGGGTTATTAAAACTAATTTAACACGAATTTATTATTAAAACATTATTAAACACTGTACTCATTTTTAATGTACTTACTAGGTAAACTTGCATCAGATAGATAAGCATTTCTTGAAGCCTGCATGCACGTTAAGAATTACACTAAGTATAATACAGAATATACGACAGGAGTGTGGTCGTTCAGGGATTCCCATTATAGAGGGAACTTACCTCTAACTCCCAGAAAATTCCTTAAGCAGAGTAGATAGATAATTCTGGGAAAATACAAGTTTTGATTTTGGGAATGGCTATGTGTGGATAATAATTAGTTGATGAACAGATTGTTGACAGGATAAATATATAACTAGGAGAGAACCCTCAGTGTTTTCCAGTTTACATGAGATCTTGTCTTGTGTATTCTCAGCCATCTCTTCAGCTGAGCAGTGGAGGACAGTAGAATTGCCAGTTAATAAAACCGTACGAGCCAACATCTTAGAGATCACAAACACAAACTTGTTTTACGCTTTACCAAATGAGATGCCAGGTAAGAAACAGAAATTTGAGATGTGGTCGTGTTTGCAGGAATTGAGGGTGAGAAGAGAGGAGTGGTGTTGGTTTCTCTCATTGCTTTAAGGAAGAATCGATCGTAGTAACACTGAAGTCATTTAGCTGTAAAAACACCAATGCGGACAGCAGGGGATGTCTCCTAGTTGGAGCAACCTTAGCCTGGTCTTTTTATAACCAAAGTATCGTAAATTACAGTACAAGTTCTTGTTTAAAAACATCTGTTCTCTGTTTATATCCTAACCTTCCACAGCCATTTAAGGGAATTTGAACCAAAATAGTTGTAGACATACTAAGATTACTTTTGTGACCAGAGGGAGCTCTGGTGGCGTAGTGCCTAAGGCATTTGATTACTAACCAGAAGGCTGGCGGTTCAAATGCACCAGCCTCTCCTTGGAAGGAGGTTGAGCAATCTACTTCCGTAGTGATACTGCCTCAGAAACCCAAGGAAGGGTTGCTATGAGTCGGGATCGACTCCACGGCAGTGAGTCTGGTTTTTGGTTTTGTAACCAGACACTCACTCATCGTAGCTTTACTATGTCTTAGAGACTTAGAAATGTTCTACCCTGGACCTAATCGTGAGGAAGAATAGCATCCATAAATCAGCTTCCAACTTGACTGACTTTGTCCTTGGGGAGTCAGAAGGAGAGTTAATACAAGTTGGGTGGTGTCTATGTAAGTTGCAGGTCCTTCAAGGCTGAAAAGAAACTTCAAATGGTCAACCTAGAATTATGGTGATTCCAACAGCTGCTCTTAAGTTTCTTTCTGATACTACAAGTGATCATTGTTTATTTGTATAGTAGAAAGTGGGGTATAGGATTATTGGGTCCTGGCACTGACCTAGGGGATAATGAACTGGAGGTACTATCGAGGGTAACTGCTTTATTTCATTAAATATAACTTACTTAATAAAAGGCACTCAAAACTATTAAGAATACAGCTTACTAAGCTTTCACAAAGGGAACACACTTCCTATCCACCCAGATCAGGAAATGACAACACCAGAGGCTTCCCTACCACCCCTCCTAGTATTTGCATCCTTTCTACAACAGATAATCAGTAGTGATCTATTAGTTTTTAAAATTAAATGTATATTTTAATATACAAAGTATTTTTTGGTTGAGTAGCCATGACATTCTTTTATATACTGTTGTAAATAAAATAACATTGAAAGCTTTTTTTAAAAAAAAGATTGTTTGTATTTCAGAAGATCAGGAAAAGCTCTCTGTGTTGACAGCCGAATTGTTAGAATATTGCAATGCTCGGAGAAGCCCACTGTCCTACAGTCCAAGGATCGGAGAGGCATGCTGTGCCAGATACTCAAGTAAGGTTCTTTTCTATCAAAGGTGACACTTTGGCCACCTCCTTTTTACATGGGATTGCACAGACATCCTTACAGACGCAAGTGTCCTTCGATTAGATGGAGAAGTTAAGAAACGTGAGCAGCAGATGTGGTTTTAATTGTTGTGTTGGGACTGTTTGGTTTTTCTCTGTTCCTTAGCAGTCAGATTTAAGCAAGAATATCTAGAGAGATTCCTGTGCTAGGAAATCTGCCAGTGTTCCTAGATAACCAGCTCTAGATACCCATATTCGATTATGGTGGATCAATAATGTTATATACGAAGAGTTTGCAAGTTACTTATAGAGCTCTGTGTGCATGTACTAAGAGAAGAAAGAAATGCCTCAGGGAATCAGACTTGTTGGAGTGGGTGGTGGTGGTGGTCGGCACCATGGAGTCTGTTCTGACTCAGAGTGACCCTGTGTATGTCAAAATGAAGCACTGCCCAGCCCCATGCCACCCTCACAATCCTTGCTATGTTTGAACCTGTTGTTGCAGCCCCTGTGTCAGTCCATCTCATTGAGGGTCATCTTCTTCCTCATTGACCCTCTGCATTTACCGAGCATGATGTTCTCTGGACATTGGTCCCTCCTGATAACATGACCAGAGAGCATGAGATGAAGTCTCCCCATCCTCGCTTCTGGGAGCATTGTAGCTGTACTTCTTCCCAGACAGATTTGTTCATTCTTCTGCCAGTCCATGTATAGTTAGTATTCTGGTGGGGTTAACCATAATTCAAAGGCATCAATTTTTCTTTGGTTTTCCTTATTCACTGTCCAGCTTTCACATACAGATGATGCACCTGAAAATACCATGACTTAGGTCAGGTGCACCTTAATCCTCAGAGTGACATCGTTGCTTTTAAACACTTTGAAGAGGTTTTTTGCATAAGATTTTCCCAATGCGATACATCATTTGATTTCTTGACTGGTGCTTCTGTGGGCGTTGATGCTGGATCCCAGTAAAATGAAATCTTTGACAACTTCAGTCTTTTCTCCATTTATCATGATGTTACTTGTTGGTCCAGTTACGAGAATTTTTGTTTTTTTCATGTTGAGGTGTAATTGACACTGAAGGCTGTAGTCTGGGTATATTTTAGCCATTCTGTTATTGTTTAATATTTCGTGTTGATAAATTGCTTTTGATAATACAAATAACTTTTTTAAAAATTTTTATGGTGATTTGGTTGAAAGTTTACAGAACGAGTTCATTTTCTATACAGCAGTTCATATACATTTTGTCTCATGACATTGACTGCAGTTCCCCACAGTGTAACAGCTCTCTTCCCACTTCCTCCCCTAGTTACCTCTTCCCTGTGTCCTTCCCTCTCGTGCCCTCTCATTCCCCGAGCTGTCTCCCTGGGCATACACTGCACTTCTGTTCTCCCATGATTGGCCATTCTAAGGAGCGTAGCTACCTGATGTAAATGTTCACCCCATGTGCCTGTCTGTTGTTTGGCTGGAAGCCACAGGAATGAGTTCAGTTCCAGACCCGAAGCGGGTAACTAGGGGCCATAGCTTTAGGGGTCTCTCCAGGCTCTATCAGACCAGCAAACCTGGTTTTTCTTTATGATTGATAATATAAATAACTTTGGCAGTAGATAGTCCTGGGCAGGAGTTTTGGTCACTGACTGCAAATACATTAGGATGAATTTTCAGGATTGGAATTCCTAAACCAAAGAATATATATTATAAGTTCTGGAAGTACATTGCTGTCTGGGCATTTTAAAGAAAGGTGCTGGGAGCTGGTGAGCAGACTGGTCTCATGGTTCCCTTGCCAGTGATGGATGTTAAAATGATTTTAGTCTCTTGCCCCAAATAATATCTATTTATCTATTTATTGATAAGTTTAGGTTTACAGTGACATTTTTTCATGTCTTGGTTCCTTTTTCTTTTATATGACTCCTAGATCTACATGTTCTTCCCAGTAAAAATGTGTCATAATTTTTGTTAGATAAGTATTCTGTATTAGGATTACATAGACACTATTCCCATAAACACTGTTGTTCAAATTTACACAACCACCACTAATTCCAAAGATGAAAAAATTAAAAATTTTGGCCAGCTTCTGCAATCTGAAATGGATCAAACATGCAGTCAATATGCATTGTTAATTACTGGTGATTGGAATGAGGAAGTTGGAAATGAAGAGGGGTCTGTAGTTGGAAAATACAGTCTTGGTAACAGAGACATTGTCCGAGATCTCATGATAGAATTTTGCAGATACCTTTTTTCAGTAAGATAAATGGTGACTTTGCATGTACACCTCTCCAGATGGAATACACAGGAATCAAATCCACTACATCTGTGGAGAGAGGTGATGGAGAAGCTCAATATCATCAGTCAGAACAAGGCCAGCAGCCAGCTGTCTTTTCTTGTGGTTTTATGCCTTTTTGTTTTCAATCCCACCAAGGAGCTAGAGTGACAGAGGCTGCACCAGTGGCCTCACACAGGGCGTCGATGGTGTAGGTGGCGCAGAATTGGCAGTGTTTCCTTCTGTTGTGGGTTGGAAGCGCTCGAGGGCACCTGACAACAGCCAGGGAGCTCTGGTGGTGCAGTGCCTAAGGCATTTGACGGCCAACCAGAAGCCTGGTGGTTCAAACCCACCAGCCACTCCTCAGAAGGAAGGTTGGCCAATCTCTTTCCATAGTGATACCACCTTGGAAACCCGAGGGGTTGCTATGAGTTGGATCCCACTTGAGCACAATCAGTTTTTTTTTTTTCTTTAAAACAGCAACATTGTTTGTTTGGCTGATTGGTTTTTTGTAGGATTTGAGAGGTGAACGTTGATATTTAATCAGGGCTCTTTAACCGGAAACTTGTCAGGAATGCTTAAGTGATGGAAATATAACGGTGACTGATCATCTTAAGGGAAGTGTGGTCACTGGACATGTCTTCTTCCTGAGTTCCATCATACTTTCAGGTGACGACCTCTGGTACCGTGCCATCGTTCTGGGGACGTCAGATGCTCACGTGACAGTGCTCTATGCCGATTATGGAAACATTGAAACGCTGCCACTTTCCCGAGTGCAGCCAATCGCCACCAGCCTCCTGGAGCTTCCTTTCCAGATTGTTAGATGTTCACTCGAAGGTAGACACTTGGTCACTTTCTCATTTGGGTGTCTGGGGATTTTGTTCTGTTTCTTAGCTGTTGTCTGAATCAGTGGGTATTTCGGAAGTTGCACATATTTGTAAACATAAAGTAGGGTTAACAGAAACGTGTTTTTTTAAATCTTTATTCTCACAAAAGTATTTTCAGTTAGTCTTTCTTTGTTGTACAGATTAGTTTCAAAGTGTCAAGGTCCCAGTGGAAAGCCAGTGTGTGGCAGGGCTTGGCCGTAAACTGCATCACCTAACCTCTCAGCTGGTTGAATTGCTGCTGTGGGCCAGCCCACTCTTCAGAAACCAAAAACCACAACCATTTGCTGTCGAGTTGACACTAACTCATGCCAGCCAACTCCTTGTGTGTCAGAGTGGAACTGTGCTCCATAGGATTTTCAAAGCTGGTTTTTTGGAAGTAGATTTCCAGGACTTGCTTCCAAGGTGCCCGTGGGTGGACTTGAACCACCGCCCTCACCGTTTGTATCACCCAGGGCCTCCTTTAGAGACATGAAGCATTCAATTGACCTGTTTTATTATGCACATTAAGTCTGCATATATTTGTCTTTCAGTTGCCATTTGAATATTGTAAATCAAATGCTGGAATAACCTTTTCATTGGTATTCCTGATGTCCTTTCCCAGAAGGCCTAGCAGATAATACCTCCCTGGTTGCTTCCTGGTCTGCTTTGGTTTTGACTCAGCACACGAGCTGGCAAATTATCTTTATTTATTGTTTGCCTCTCCCTTTAGCAGGAGCTCTGGTAGCATAGTGCCTAAGGCATTTGACTGCTAACCAGAAGGCTTGGTGGTTCAAACCCACCTTAGCATGTATGTCCACTAGAGCAGAAGTGTTTTCTGTTTTGTGCCCTGAAGACCTAGATTAGTGCTTGACACATAGTAGATGATCAGTAATGCAACAGCAGTACTATATATCAAGGCATATCTAAACCCAGATAAGAAACAGTAAATATTTTATTTATTAGCCTGAGATTGAACAATTTGTCTGAATATCATCTTCTTTAAAGGGATTTGAAGATTAACTGTACAATTTCATTTTTTCTAGGACTAATGGAGTTGAATGGCAGCTGTTCTCACTTAATAATAGAGCTGTTAAAGAATTTCCTGTTGAATCAGAATGTCATGATTTCTGTGAAAGGAATTAATAAGAATGTCCACACAGTGGCCATTGAGAAATGTGTAGAGAACGGCCCTGTTCATGTGGGCAGTAAGCTGATGTGTGGTCTGGTGAAAAACAACCAGTTCAAGAAGCAGAGTGCTTTTAATAAAGGTATTTTCTTCAACTTGAATTAATGAGAGATGTTGATTCAGTTTAGTTGACCTGGGCTTCCCTTATCCTTTGTGGCCACTTTCCCCATTTCCTCCTTTAGTAAGGGTGAGGCGGACCTCTGATTGCTGCTGCCCGCCTGCGGGGGGGGGGGGGCGTGCGGCTCACTCTGGCCAGACCTTCTGTAGGTCAGGCTTGAGCCGTATCATTGTGACTGACACTGAGGGTCTTAAGAATGTCAGGCATCCTGCATGCACCTTATTTCCAATCCTGGTCAAAGTGAGAAGAAATCATATTTTTGAGATTAGATCTTACTGGTATTTCATAAGGTGTTGTTTTTTGTTGTTGTTGTTGTTGTTGTTGTTGTTTTTTTTTTGCAGACCTGCCCTCAACCAAAAAGGAGTTTCCCATGTATGATCGGCAAAAGACCTCAACCTTGGGTATGTGGGCATTTATTTGGTAAAATCCAGGTCACTGTAAGTGGACAACTTCAAAGCCCAAAGGAGTAGCCCTTTGAAACGGGAACCTGTGCTGGGGGCCACATCTGCATATGTTCAGACCCCCAAGTTTTTTCGTTCTTTGCATCATGTTATCTAATGGCTTCTTGCATTTGTTTTTAGAAAGGACATGCAGGACGTATTGCTGCTGCACAGAGTTACAGAAACAAGTGGGTAAAATTTCCTTCTAGTGAAGTTACACTCCCAATGGTTTTAGAAGTTAAATAATGCTCTTTCTTTATCACCCATAGGTGGAAAAACATGAGCAGATTCTTCGCTTTCTCTTAAACAGTCCAACCAATCAAAATAAATTAATTGAAATGAAAAAACTGTTAAGTTAAGTAAGTTCAATTTTGATGTTTTTGCCACTTCTGTGACCACCAGAAGGACCGGGTCCAGTCACACTGTCAGGATGGACCTGAGTGAAGCTCACGGGAATGCTGTAGCTTGTTTCGTGATCCGGCCGGAGGATTGGTTGTTGTGTTGTTGCCATCTCTCTAGGGTTTATTTATCACTGCTAATGAAACGGGGAGGAGCTCTGGTAGCATAGTGCCTAAGGCACTTGACTGCTAACCAGAGCTCTGGTAGCATAGTGCCTAAGGCACTTGACTGCTAACTAACTGGCGGTTCAAACCCACCAGCCACTCCTTGGAAGGAAGGTTGGGCAATCTACTTCTGTACAGATACCACCAGGGCAGTGAGTTTGGTTTTGGTTTTGGAATGAAATCGAGCCCCCAGGGTGTTCTGATTACAGCTTTTGTTTGCTGTCCTTTGCTTTTTAGAAAGCTTACTTTGTGGATACATTGAGGGACTTGTAAAATTTGTTTGAGGTAAAGTTTTGTCTCAGTTCTGTGTGTAGATTTGAAATGAACTCTCGGTCTTACATGTTCCTATAACAATGTTTGGCATCATTTGTGACGAGGTTTTAAATGGGACAGAGAATGTCAAGGGGGCTGTACTCACAGCCCAGTTCATTTTCAAACAAAACATGCTCCCCTGTTATTGGCTGTGGCGATTCTAGTGTTTACAGAACCTACTGGTGGGCTTCAAACCAGTACTTCTCCACTTGTTTACCATGTGGGAGCCTTTGTTTAAGGTGGGCCTCAGAAATTACATTCTGATCAAAGGCATTGAGAACTTCTGGTCAAGATGAAGTTATCCTTCTTACAACTTGGAGTTCATACAATTTTACCAAAAGCAAAGGACTTTGATTTACTTGTTATGTGAGCCCTTGTTTAATTTTTGTTAGACTGTTTAGAAATAGTTGAAGAGGTTGTATCCCTCTCTTTGTGGGTCTCTGGGAATGTGGCAGCTCTCAAGTAGGGACCTAAGAAACAAAACCAAACTCACTGCCGTCAAGTCCTTTCTGACTCATAGCAGTCCCTCCTTGGGTTTCCGAGGTGGTATCACTACCGGCACTACGGAAGTAGATTGCCCAACCTTCCTTCTGAGGAGTGGCTGGTGGATTTGAACTGGTTAGCAGTCAAATGCCTTAGGCACTATGGCACCAGTAGGGACCTCTACTGTATTACAATATACAGCCCGGGGGGCGGGGTGGGAGAAGTACTATTGTTTTCATGAAAGTCCAGGCAAGTTATAAGCTAAGTATGGTCGTCGTCACAAGACAAATCGTTTTGACTGTTGTGATTTATTTCCTTTACAACCTTTGGGTTACTTTTTAGTAGATGCTGGTTTACAGCAGTAGTTAGACGTTTCAGTCTTGCAGTTTTTGGGACTCTGACACATTACGTTTTAGTACTGACTGTAGTTTTGTGTACTTGAACTTAAAATCTTAAATTTGTTGGAAATTGTAATTTCATAGAACATGCAGTGACATGAAATTTAGTTCCAGCACCAAGTCACCATCCATTTTTAACCACGTGTGTTAACTTGTGCTCTGTAACACGCCTTCCTAAGAACACTGATGGATGGCACTTACACCAACTTCCGATAAGACCTATTAATTTTCATTGTTTCCAGTTAGATTGAAAGAGCTGAGTAGCTTCCAGAAAGAAAAAGCAGAACTTGATTTGAAGCATAATAGTTGAATTGGCTTCCCCAACTGTGAGCTAAATACGTATTTCATCTACACTTGGACATAGTTTAGTCTCTTGTATTAGGGCAGTGCCTTCTTTACAGAGCATTTTCACGTCTAACCACATCTTTAATCTTCATAACACCCTTGAACTGTAAGTAGACCCATTTTACAGATGAAGAAGCTGCAGCCCAGGGAGGTTCCGTATCTGCCCCAGATCACACACACAGACTGGAAACTAGGCCTTAGGACTCAAAGCTGAGTTCTCAGTCCTTCCCCTTGTCAACATCTGTATGTAGTGCTGCAGAATCTTGTTAGATGTGCAGATTTTCTAGAGCATGAAACTAAGGGGCTCTATTACTAGAAAAACTTACTACATATATGGTTACTCCAGCATATTTGCTTATTGTGGTGAAAATATAGCTGAATATTTACTTTCTCCTTTCAATTATTTTTCTTAGTCATTGAAGTAATATCTTTAAAATTAACTTAAATGTTCAGTCATCACTGGAGAAGTGTGTTTGAATTTTTGTCCATAATTCAATTGCTAAAATAGAGAGTTGTGGTGAGAACGTAAAGCCCTCTGTCATCTGTTGCTCAAAAGTGATGAATAAGTACAACACTCAAGTTCAGATCAAGTATATTTTATATTGAAGTCATAACATAGCACCATTGTGGTATTTAATTTCATCAAATGATAAGTCTGACGTAAATGTATAATTTCAGTTAAAAGTCAATATTTGGTTTGCTTGTACTTAACGTAGATTAAGGAGCATAGTGATAGTTGATTTTTATATCAGGCATAATGATAATGGATTTTTCTCTTTTCAGAAACAGTGTCTCTCGAAGATAAATACTAGGAGGAAGAACATAGTGAAGGCCAGACCTACAGAGAAAGTGCCGCATCTTGTGTTTTTGCTTATTGGAACCTTTTCTCTACTTATTTTTTTTACATGAATTTCCTTTATGCCTCCATTTTCCTTGTGTACCACTCTTCGTTAGGTTAGTTAGTTTTATGTTTTATTTTCTTCTTCTAAGTTCCTCCCCCAAAATAAATAGGTCTTCTCTGAAAGAGTCATACCAAGTTCATGGGAATACCAGGAAAGAGTACCTAGGAGCTTTCAGTGTATATATAACTTTGTATTACCTAAAGGTTCAAAAAAAAAAAAAAAATAGGGCTCTGTGTTCATATGGGACAAATCTAGTTGGTGGGTACCACTACCGCCCCTCACTGCTATTGAGTCAATTCTGACTCATGACGACCCCATGTGTATGGGAGTTTTATTTTCTTGACTTTCATGTGTGCCTCAAATATTGCCTAATAAAGCATGCCCTGTTCTTTCATTCTCTCTGTCTTCATCTGCCTCTTCACATAATACTGTCGTGTGGTTTGTTGTTGTTGCTGGTATCAGCTCTTGTCCTGTCCACTCTGGGGTCCTCCGTTCCTTCCCTGCTCTCCTAAATTGGCTCATTTTTTGCTATGCTCTTTGCATGGAGTCTGTCCTGGAGCTTTGACCACACCGACCACTGATTGAACTTTCTGGCTCCTGCCATGCTCCTTCCAAATCTGTATCCACATTATATCACAATGGTTGTTACTTAGAATTTTTCTTGTAGGTAGAATTTTCTGTTGTGTGAAGCACAGTCATCAATTTAAGTTAAAAACCTAAGTCAGAGTATATCTTTTTCTCGAAGCACATAAAGTCATCTTAAATTCTCCTAAGCTCATGTGTGCAGAATTATGGGTGGCTGACTTTGCCGCCAGCCCCAAAGTTTCTATTTGGGGGGAAAAAAGTTTTCATGATTTAAGTATCATACTGTGACAATTTAAGGTGTTGTCACCAACTCAGACCAGACACTTAAAGAATTTTTGTTTTCACTGGTAATACGTATTGGCTACTACTTTGTTAGACTTGGTGGAATAGTTCCTCATGTAAAACGTGGTCTAACATCCATGTGCTTGTAGTATATAAAAGCTCATTCCGCTTTGCCCAATAAAAACCTTTGCTTCGCAATCACATTTCCCTGTGTTCTCATTGCCAGCATGGTGCTGACTTCCCTCCTGGATTTACACATACGAGGCGCCCTGGGTAATGTCCACCCAGTCTGTTCCTTTGCAACCACAGTGAAAACTATGGAATCCATAAAACTGACTTTTTGATTAAGGAAAATTAGGGGGGCAAGTCAAAGGACACTTAAAAAAAATATGTCAAAATTAATTACTTCAAATTCCCAATGTTTATCATACATTCCTGGAAGTTTGAATAGAAATTCTTTTTGGAGTTTAATTCATATTATTTATTGTTTAGCTATTTGCCTTGTCCCTAGAAAGAGACTCATCTGTTGCACTAGGCTCCTGGGTTAAGTGTCTCCTGAATCCAGTCTACATATTACCATACAGTACCACCAGTTCTTATTTCTGAATAGGCTTAAGACATTTCCTCTGTTAATTAACATGTCAGTTGCAGGCTTTATTAAATCAACAAATACTAACTGAACTCCATCTGTGGAGTTGTGTCATGTAGGCCCCATCTCGCCTCCAGTTCTCATTCTGTCAGATAAGTAGACTAGAGCTGAGCCCATATAGCCATGTCATTATTGAGATAAGTCATATCCAGATTGCCAGGGAAGAGGTTTCTATCATGGACTGAACAGTAAACTCCAGGGGTTGGGGACAGGAGAAAGCATATTCAATATGCCTTTACTTCTGCTCCAATTCTTTTACTGTGGCAGCTAGAAATGGAGAAGGTTCACAGTTGTGGACGAGGGGGTTAATGTCCTGAAACTGAGCTCTCTTGCTATATAATAAACTCTCCAGAAAACCAGTACTGCAAGGCTCCTTTAACCAGCAGGGTCCTACACTGCCAAATTCAGAAGAGAAGTTGTAAGGCTCACCGGTGGGAAGCGACCAGCCAAAAGCAGTAACCCTTTAATGCTGAAGATACTTGTACAGCAGTGTTCACTGCAGCTCGACTCACAGTAGCCAAAAGACAGAAACTAAATGTCCATCAGCAGATGAATAAACAAATGTACATATGAACCGTGGAATACAACTCAGTAGAGTTGAAATCTTGCATAGTGCCTAAGGCACTTGACTGCTAACCAGAAGACTGGTGGTTCAAACCCACCAGCCACTCCTCAGAAGGTAGGTGGGCCATGTATTTCCATAGTGATACCACTTCAGAAACTAAGAGGGGTTGCTGTGAATCAGGTCTGACTCGACAACACATAACAGGTGGGATGGAACTTGAAGACATTATGCTGAAAAATAAGAGTATCACAAATGGACAGATACCGTATGACCAA